CTGTCCCTGCCAGGCGCCTTTGCTGAATGCGAGGACAGGGGGGGAGGTTGACGGTGGTTTACGTAGCTAGGTCGGGAGGGGAGCTCTCTTCGGATCCCCGTCGGAGGCGCTGCGGGGCTGCCATTGTGGCGTTAGCCCCAGACGCCGACGGGAACCTGTCTCCGCTGCCGCGGTACCGCTCACTGGCCCCCAACAGTGTGTCCTGAGGGCCGAACTCTTGGCGTTTTGCCTGATGTTACCTGGCCAGGTCCTGGGATCAGATTCTCCGTTCACCCTGCACCTATCGTCGCCAGGAAGATTTGTGGGAGCGTGCGAGAGCGAGCTGGCGCACCAGGCCTGCCTTGATTTCTGCGCGATGGATCTCGTCGCATACCGACGAGCGTACCGGTTCTTCTTGAGCGAGCAGGAAGCTAATACTGCCATAGGTAACATGGCCGCGGATATCTGGGCGGGGAGGGCGGCGGAGTTGGCATGGGTGCGGGGGGCGGGGGGTACCTTGCCTACCCGCGAAGTCGACTCCGCTGCGGCCATGATCAGACAACGCGAGAGACGCGCGATGATCGATGCTGTGGCCGCCAATGTTTGCACGAAGGCTGACCGCGAGGAGGCGCCCGCCCAAGTGGTGCCTGGGGCCCGTCTGGCCCGAGCGATTCACGCCTCTTCCCCTCGCCTCCACCAGAGGGGCAACGTGTGGACCCGCGAGGTCTGCCTGAGGACCTCCCCAGTCTCGAGGGTCTTGGAGCCGTGCGCGAGCCCGTGCATCCCTCCGCCTCCTGCCCCTGGTGCTGCTGCTGCTGCTGCTGCTGCTGCTGCTGCTGCTGCTTTTGGGCCTCCCCTGGTTGCCCGTGTAGCCCCGGGAGCTGGTCCCCTTAATCTGCATGGAATGGAAATACACCCCTCCCATGCGCTCGGGAAGGTGGACCAACATCCGCCATTTCGCGCCTCTGGCACGAAGTGGAGTGCTCCAAGGCTCACGCAGCACTAAAAGGTAGAGGCTGTGATGCCGCTGCTGCTGATGCAGCGAGACTTGTGAGTCTTTGAGGGCCCGGACAGATCGCTTTCCCAAACTTCTTGGGTTCTCCGGGCTGGCTCCCGTGAGCTCTGGGGGGGGTCCTGCGGGTCCTCTGGACGCTGTGCCCGCCCAGAATGGTCCCAGAGAGATTCAAGTCGACCTGAAATGTGTAAAAATACGCTGTCGGTGACCCCAAGACGGCCCAAGACACCTCCAAGACGCTCCAAGAGGCCTCTTCAGAGGGCCCCAAGAGGCAAGCATCAGTGTTCCTCCTTCAATGGTTGAAGGGTTTGGGCCGTCTCGCATTATCGGTTTCCCGACTCCAGGACGACCCAAGAGGCCTCCAAGACCACAAGCACGGTGGCGGGACGGGCCGAAGGACATTCGATTTCCTTACTTTCTATCACACCTGCGATCAGCACGCGACGATTGACCCCCGCCATCTTGCTTCCGAGTGCCTCATTAAGACCCGTAAAGGCGGGGACAACCATCTCGGTTGGCCTAAAACCTTTTTTCCCCGTGGGGAGGGCCCTCCGCTGGCCGTCATAAAGGCGATGCCGAGTCGTGACGAGGTCGCTGCAAGAAGTAAACAGCCAGATGTGAGCGGAGCTGGCCCTGCCCCATCTAAGAGTCTTCGCGACTGCGTGCGGCCCCTTATGGACCAGAACCCACTGCCTCTGGGGCCCGTCTCTGGAACGGAATTATTTGGTTGAATCCCTACTTGAACACTCCATCCTCCCTCCTCCCTCCCGCCTCCCCCCTCCCCACTCCTCCTCCTCCTCCTACTCATCCTCCTCCCCCTCCTCCTCCCTCCTCCCTCCTCCCTCCTCCTCCTGCTCCTCGAACTCCTCCTCCGTGCCTTCCTGCTCGCCCTCCTTCTCCTCCTCCTCCTGATCCTTCTCCTCCTGCTCCTCCTCCTCCTCCTCCTCCTCCTCCTCCTCCTGCTGCTCCTCCTCTTCCTCCTCCCCTCCTCCTCCTCCTCCTCCTCCTCCTCCTCCTCCTGATCCCTCCTCTTCCTCCTCCTCCTAATCCTCTCCTCCTCCTCCTCCTCCTCCTCCTCCTCCTCCTCCTCCTCCTCCTGATCCTCCTCCTCTTCCTCCTCTTCCTCCTAATCCTCTCCTCCTCCTCCTCCTCCTCCTCCTCCTCCTCCTCCTCCTCCTCCTCCTCCTCCTCCCCTCCTCCCCCTCCCCCCCTCCTCCTCCTCCTCCTCCTCCTCCTCCTCCTCCTCCTCCTCCTCCTCCTCCTCCTCCTCCTCCTCCTCCTCCTCCTCCTCCTCCTCCTCCTCCTCCTCCTCCTCCTCCTCCTCCTCCTCCTCCTCCTCCTCCTCCTCCTCCTCCTCCTCTCCTCCTCCTCCTCCTCCTCCTCCTCCTCCTCCTCCTCCTCCTCCTCCTCCTCCTCCTCCTCCTCCTCCTCCTCTCCTTTTCCTTATCAATAACTTCTCCGTGTCGCACCCCGAAGCCCGTATTTAGGGTGGGCCGAGCGTTTCGCCTGAGACTTCCTCACCATTTACGACCCTGAAGCTGAAAACCTGGTAATCGTTTCACAGACGGAGGGCGGGTCGTTTTCAAAATGTGGCTCTCGGTTTAGCGCCGCGTACATTCGTTTTACAATATTGCCAGAACTTAACGGATTGAGGGCGGGTGGTTTTCAAAATGTGACTCTCGCTTTCGCGCCGCACACATTCGTTATCCAAATTTGCCAGAGCTTCACGGGTTGAGGACGGGTGGTTTTCAAAATGTGGCTATCGCCTTCGCCCCGCCCAACGTTTGTTTTAAACAGTTGCAAGAAATTCGCGGATTGAGGGCGGGTGGTTTTCACAATGTGGCTCTCGCCGTAGCGCCGCGCACATTCGTTTTAAACTTGCCTGGCGAAGAACCCAACCATATGCAGTTGTGGGCACAACCGTTGTATGCACCGCATTCGGTTGGCCTCCCTATGAGGCCGCGACGTGTGCGAGGGGTGTGCTACAATGGGCGCGGTGCGCGCGTGCGAACGTTGGCATTTGGGCCTTCGGTGGGGCTCCCCATGGGGCCACGAAGCCCGTTAGAGGTGTGCCAAAATGGGCGCGGTGGGCGCATGCGAACGCTGCATCGGTGGGCCTTCGGTGGGGCTCCCGATGGGGCCACGAAACGTGTGAGAGGTGTGCCAAAATGGGCGCGGTGGGCGCATGCGAACGCTGCATTGATGGGTCTTCGGTGGGGCTCCCTATGGGGCCACGAAACGTGTGAGAGGTGCGCCAGAATGGGCGCGGTGGGCGCATGCGAACGCTGCATTGGTGGGCCTTCGGTGGGGCTCCCTATGGGGCCACGAAATATGTGAGGGGCGTGCCGAAGTAGGAGCGGTGGGCACATGCGAACGCTGGCATTTTGGCGGTCGGTGGGGCTCCCTACGGGGCCACGAAACGTGTGAGCGGTGTGCCAAAATGGCTGACTGTTTCGGAGTGCGGAGAGGCAGGGATCGGAGGATGAAGGGGGAGGGGGGAGGGGGCAGCGGGAGTGAGTGAGGTGACGCGGGGCGCTGTCTCTTCAAAACGAAGACCCAACACCACAGGATGGTTGGGAAAAACTGCAGGAGTTTCACGGATTCATGGCGATTCCTTTTCAAAATGTGGCTCTCGCCTTAGCGCCGCGCGCATTCTTTTTAAACATTTGCAGCAACCCCATGGGTTCTCATAATCACCGTACCCGAAATGGTGTTTTGGAGGGGTTCACGATTATGCGGGTGCAACAGTTACGTTGGTTCGCGGTGTTGAAGTCCCATAGATGGCGTTCTGGCACGACTCAGGATCGTCAAAACGCAACAGTCCGGTTGATCCGTGGCGTTGGGAGTCTCGAGAGTCATGTTTTGGCATGCTTCAGGGTCTTCAAACGGTTGTCTTTCAATGAGGTAGTTCCCCCAATGGAAATCCACCGATGTAGGGGCCTATGAAAAGGGAGCTTGGAGGGAGGGTATATTCCGAAATCGTTGATGACTCTTGGGTTTACAATGGTCCTCCTCCTCCTTCTCCTCCTCCTCCTCCTTCTCCTCCTCCTTCTCCTCCCGTCTCCCTCCTCCCTGCTCCCACCTCCTCCCTCCTCCCTCCTCCTCCCTTCTCCCTGCTCCCTGCGCCCTCCTCCCCACGTGCTCTCTGGTCCCTGCTCTCTGCTACCTGCTCCCTCGTCCCCTCCTTCTTCTCTCCCTCCTCCTCCTGCTGCTACTCCTCCTCCTCCTCCTCCTCCTCCTCCTCCTCCTCCCTCCTCCTCCTCCTCCTCCTCCTCCTCCTCGTCATCATCAGCATCATCATCATCGTTCTCCTCCTCCTCGTCCTCCTCCTCCTCCCTCCTCCCTCCTCCTCCTCCCTCGTCCCTCCTCCTTCCTCGTTCCTCCCTCCTCCTGCTCCTACTGCTCCTCCTGCTCCTCCTGCCTCCTGCTCCTACTGCTCCTCCTGCTCATCCTGCTCCTCCTCCTCCTGCTCCTCCTCCTCCTGCTGCTGCGCCTCCTCCTCCTCCTCCTCCTCCTCCTCCTCCTCCTCCTCCTCCTCCTCATCCTCATCCTCATCCTCATCCTCATCCTCATCCTCATCCTCATCCTCATCCTCATCCTCATCATCATCCTCATCCTCATCCTCATCCTCATCCTCATCTCATCCTCATCCTCATCCTCATCATCATCACATCATCATCATCATCATCATCATCATCATCATCATCATCATCATCATCATCATCATCATCATCATCATCATCATCATCATCGTCATCCGTCTCCTCCTCCTCCGTCTCCTCTCTCCTCCTCTTATCCTCTCCGCTCCTCTCTTCTCCTGTCTTCTCCTTTCTCCTCCTGTCTTCTCCTCTCTTCTCCTGTCTCCGCTCCTCTCCTCTCTTCTCCCTTTCCTCACTCCATCCTGGAATTCCTCCTCGCTCCGCTCTGTCTCCTGCCCCTTTATCTCTTACTCATCCTGGGAGAAAGCGGGTCTCAGTGGCCACATGGGTTCGGCTGCCCTGGTGTCCGGCTCGTTCTTGGAGCGCCGCTTGTGCCAGTCGCTGCAGCGAGGGTTGATGATCTTCTGCCTCGCGCTCGCCGGCGGCAGGGAGGAGCAGGCCTTCCGAGGGACGAAGGGAGGTTCCATCGTCTCGTCTCTCTCTCTCTCTCTTGCTCTTCCTCTCTCTCTGTCTCTCTTTCTCTCCCTCCCTCTCTGTATGTCTCTCCTCTGCCTCCCTCTATATCTGTGTATATCTATATATACTGCATGTGCACACTGCTTGCCCCCCCTCCTCCTCTCTCTGCCTCTCCCTGGGTCGCAGGGCCATCGGGTCGCACAGTCTCCAAGCCACCGTGCCACCAAGCCACGATGACACTGCCGGCGGGACGTCGGATCAAAAGGGTCGCGGTGCACCAGGCCACTGCGCGAGCGGACCAGCGGGCAACTGGGCGGCCCGAGCCGACCGAACTCAACCACAAAAACATCAGGAGGGGGGAGGAGGGGGAGGAGGAGAGGAGAGGAGGAGGAGGAGGAGGAGGAGGAGGAGGAGGACGAGGAGGAGGAGGAGGAGAAGGAGGAGAAACGCGGGGCGACGTCTCTTCAAAACGAGGGCCCAACACCACAGGATGGTTGGGAAAAACATCCATGTAGTCCACGTGCGCTCTGAATTTCCCCCCCAGGGTCGTGGACGGCAGCTGCGGTGCCTCTTGCGGCGCCGCCCCTCTCGCCCTCCCCAGGAATACACCAGAGTCTCAACTGCTAGTGGCGGACCGGGGCCGGCAGAAGCGGATCAATCCGAAATCACCGCAAGCCAAGCCCTCAGGCTGGCCGTCGGCCCCTTCCCCGCCGAGGCATGACGGAAAGATCCCTGTTGTGGGTCTCTGCGAACTGGCTGCTGTGCGGAAACTGCAACAAACCAACTGTCGCGTGGCATGACCTGGTAGACCCGCTAACAGTGAACGCGGCACGCCCTGCTGTGTCAGACAGCGTCTTGGCAACTTTCATCGTGTTCATTGTGGCTGTATATGGTGCTACCCTAGCTCTGGAGATCAGCGACAAGCCAATGACACAAGAAAGCGCAGCGGTGACTGGGGCAGGACCAGAAGTAGAAGCTGTAGAAGCCGGTGCCGTCCATGCGCTGGGAATTGCGGAACCATGCCTCCGGATCACCCCTCCCGCGGCGTGGCACGCTGCAGAAGGCAAACGGACGGCCGACCCCCGCGATCCCTTCTCCGCACCTTCCCCGCGACCTGCTCCGCCCCAGCGCCCCATCCGCGGCGCCCCCTCCGCGCTGCCCCCCTCTGCTCGGCTCCGCTCCGCCCCCTGCCCCAAGACCTCCCTCGCCGCGCGACGTGCGAGCGGGCGTCGGCCGCGTTGCCCCTCCCCCCCCCCCCACGCTGGCCATCGCTCGGACGTCCGTCCTCTGTGCTTTTTCTGGTTTCGTGCTTGGTCGCAGGATGACCCAGGATGCTCCTTGATAATCCCCGCCGAGGAGAAGTGCACGCGTCCGAGCGAGACCAAGCACGTGCGCTGCGCTGCTCGGGCCTCCGCCGCGCCGCCCCGTTCGGCGACACGCACTGAAGGTCACTCCGGCGAAGGCTCACTCTTACGTGTCGTCGACCCGTCCCCGCCCCCCACTCGGGCGCGGCCTGGCCGGCCCCTGCCGTGCCCGGCACCTTCCGCGACGCCGCCCTCGCCTCCGAAGAGCTTCCCTCGGGCCGCACGCGCCCGCCCTGCTGCGGGGCGAGGGGGGCGTCACAGAAGGGGTCGGCGTGGGGTCGGCGTGGGGTCGGCTAGGCCCCCCCGGCGGCCGAAGAGCGACCCTGCACTGCCCTGCGACGCCCCACGGAGCCGCGCGTCCGCCCTCCTCGCGCCGCGCATCCCCTGTGGCAACTCACCAGAGCCTCGCATGTCATCTTGCTGGCCCTTGCGAGTCGACGCTGACCGACGCTAGTCGACGCAACTTCGACGCAAACTCTGCGCTTTCTCTCGCCGATTACCAGACGCTGACGCACTGTGAAGACGGAATGGCGAGGACATACAATGCTCCCATGAGTTACTACCGAACGCATCTTTGCACTGACCCCGCCGAGAGCCGACGATAAGAGCCTGGAGTGCCGAGGGAATGTGCGGAAGCACGCGCACACACGGGCATTCGGGCGGCTGCCTCTCCGTGGCCGGGGTCTCAGGCTGCTCGCCAGGGCCTGGCGAGCCTCGAATGGCCTGGCTTGCCGTCCTGACTTCTTCTCTTGGGCTGGCTTCTGCATTCTCAGATTGAACCCTCAATCCAACTTCCGAATGTATTCCACCAGAAGGGTGAGCATCTCCACTCGCTTCCACGATGCGCTTGGACGCAGCCTCGAGCCAACGAGCAAAAAAGAGTTCCGACGCAAACTTGGTGAGGGCCCCCTGCGAACATTGCCGCCCTAACTCCCTCCTCTCCTCCCCTCTCATGTTCCTCCTCTTCCTCCTGCTTCTCCTCTCCCTCCCTCACCCTTCTCCTCCTCTTCCTCCTCCTCATCGTCCTGCTGCTGACTGGACGCAGCTGGCTCCGTGAAAAGCAAGACGCCAGCCGAAACCACGCTGCGCACCACGCACTTCCCTCGCTCTGGCTTTAGCGCTTTCGAAAACAAGCTTGCGCATTCGATCTCATCATGCGCCAGCCTCTCGTTATCCCAAGACCTTGGCTGCTGACAAGTATGGTGGAAATGGGGTCCTCGAAATCTTCGTCAGGCAAATCTCCAATCCCCATCACTGGGTCAGGACCCCGAGTCGGGCCACCGTAGTTGAACGCCTGGCTGGCATCGTTTTCATTCGTTCCAACTCCCTCCCGCCGCTCCTCCAAACAAGCAGCTGACTCCTCCATGCCCCGGATTCTAACTGCAAGCTGTGTGTACAACGTTCACATGGAGCCCGAGACACAGTCAGCATGACAAACAGCCAGAACGGGCACCGCGTCTCATCGAAAATCAACCTGGCTTTACCCACGAGTGTTCTCTTGGCATACGTGAAGCAAGGGCGCCAGGGGCCCCACGCGCAGCAAGCGTAGCCTTGAATGAAGGCCCTCAACGCGTGGCGAGTACAGCAACACTAACAGATCGAGGAGGCATAGCGTCCACCGGAAGCTCGCGTTTGCCCGTGTTGGTGAACCGCGCTGGGCTAGTTTGCCCCGCTGGGGATGGTCCTGGTGCCGTCCTGGTGGGGTGATCGAACGGCTCGGTCTTCGTCCACTTGTTCGCAAACCGCTCAGGCGCTACGACAACTAAGCACAGGCGTGCACATGGAGAACTTCACCGTAATCGCAATCGACTCGGTGGTAGTACGTGTCTGACTTCGAAACAAGTCTCGACCGTGCCCTCAATGCGACCCTGGCGAACGATTTGCCAGGGCTGGGGCAGCCGGCCCCAGCCCCGCAACGAGACAGACGATCAAGGAGGAGAAGCATTAGGAGGAGGAGGAGGAGGAGGAGGAGGAGGAGGAGGAGGAGGAGGGGAAAGTTGAATCACGCCATACATTGTGCCAGGACACCTTGGGGAGCAATAGGCGCACCTTACTCCGCCAGTTCTGGCTGAGCGATCTCCATTAGAGACAATGCCCAGGAAGGCTCATCCAACAGTCACAGCGGCTTCGATTGGGTAGCCCACTTTACTCACCGAGCGGGCACCGTTCACAGGGAAATCTACAAGGACAACGACCTGTGCAGATCGGTCACCGTTTCAACTCCCATCCTCTGCATGTCATGCACCTCCATGCGACGGGAGGCGACAGATGCGCCGGAGGCCAACCCACTGGCTGATCGAGGATAAAGAAAAGGAGGGGTCACTCGCCATCGCTCGGACGTCCATTCCCTGTGTTTTTCTCGGTTTCGTGCGTGGTTTTTTCGCCAAATGATCAAGGATGCTCCTCGATGGTTCTCGCCGAAAGAAACGCACACGTCCGAGCGATGCCAGGATCATGTAGTTCCCCCTCCACCCTTCGGAGCGAGCCTCCCGTCGTCGCTCCGCGCCGCCTCCGCGCAGGGGCCAAGCTCCGCCGCTGGGCTCGGCGAGTCCACCGAGAGCCTCTCTGCAACGACGTCGACAGCCCAAATGCGAATCCGATCTTTGCAGGCACGGCTCAGTGGGCCGAACCGGCGAGTAGCTGCACGCAAGACCAGTCGGATCGAGAGGCAAGCCGAATCACGCGCGGCAAAACAAGAACGCACAACATCGGCAATATCGTCGTCATCCGCAATCGCAATCTCAAAGTCCCCTTTTTCCAAATGAAGAGAGCCTGGATCAGAAGCACTCTCAAACATGGTTTTCGAAGTCCATCATCGGCGGCTCCGTGCCACAGGACCTCGGGGCCTCCACATTCCCTGTGCTCCCACGGAGGAGCCACAGCATCGTCATGAAGAGTAGCCCAGAGACCGTCTCGTTGAGCGTCGCGAGTGGGTTTTCGAAGTATGTCCTCGGCGCTTCCAGATGGCATCAAGACCTTGGGGCCTCCATCTTCCCTCTCCCCGCTCCAAAGCGCCAGAACATCGTCGATAGGAGACTCAGCCCTGCGATGCGCCACATCAGGAGATAGAAAAGTCACATCCGATACGCTGGCGCCAGAGCCAGCCGTGTCAGAAAAGAAAGCACGGCAAATCCCATCAATATGTTCCATGTGGATTTCGGGGCCTCCATGTTCGACATTCAAACCCACAGTGACCACAGCATCGCCGGACACGGACTCTACCAAGCCAGTAGCAAGAGCAGCCAATGAGGCCATATCCGACACATACTCCCCAACGACGGCAGAGTCAGATACTGTACTTACACTATACCGTGGGCCGTCAAACACAGCATCACGAATGGGTTTTCGAAGTCCATCACTGGCGACTCCGTGCCTCAGGACTTCGGGGCCACCATTTCCCTGCCCTGACATGCAGGAGCCACACCATCGTCAGAGAGAGCCCGAAAATCATCCCGTGCATCGTCGCGAATGGGTTTTCGAAGTCCGTCGCCGGCTCCTGCCGATTGCCTCAGGGCCTCGGGGCTTCCATCTTCCCTACTCCCGCTCACAGTAGCCACAGCATCATCAATAAGGGGCCCAGCCATGTCATATTCGGAATCAGCCAAAAGATAACGTCGCATCTGGGCCGTCCGTGTCAACGACAACAGTGTCAGAAAAATAAGCACGAAGACTCTCATCTATACGTCCCAGTCTTCTTGCGAACATAGTGTCAGCGTCCTCCCACCCAGCATCCAAGGAGCAGCGTCGCGAATGGGTTCTCGAAGCCCCTCATCGGCATCTCCATCTTGCCTCGGAACCTCGAAGCTTCCATCTTCCCGACAAGAGCTGCTAGAAGAAGCCTCGCCATGGTCATCAGCAGGCGGCAACAGCATGCCTTCAGACACATCCCGACCCTCGTCAGCTTCATAGAGCTCGCCACCGCATTCGTAGTGTGCACCATGTCGACAGCATTGTGTGCGGGGTCGCTGCTGCCTTCGTGGGGTTCGTCTCCAAAGTCGAAGTGCAGCGAATCGATCATCTCCTCCTGTGGGTCCTCCCGTGGACCGTCTGGGTCCTCCTACTCCTCCGAACCATCGTCGCTCATCACCCCACTCTCTGACGATGCACCGCGCAATGCTCGAAGGAGTACATCCGCCGCATCACCTGCATTGGGAGGAAGACGAAGAGGCACAGGGGCGCCAGGCACAAACTCAGCAGCATCAAGACTCAGTGTCCACTACCAACCTCGGCAGGATCAAGGTGGTCAAACGTCCGAATGACGACAGCTGTTCATGAAGGCCCCTTCCACCGCAGATGCCGCGCACCGTTACCTCGCATCCGCATCCTGTCCATCCGAGCCCAAGCCGCGTGAGAGAATACCCCTCGCTCCTGCGCCAAATCCAGCTTCCCATGCAGCGATCGACAGTGAGGGATACCATGCACCAGCTGCAAAGAGCGCTGCAAACTCGAAGTCTGCTCGATGTCGTGCAGACGAAGTTGCATGGGAAAATCAAACGAAGGCGCAACCAGACCGTGATCAAATTCATGTCCAGAGGCAATACGACTGAGTGCAGCGTGGGCGACCCCGCAACAACGCAGAGCTCCAGGAGGAACGCTCACTGCTCTCCGACCGGCAGCCTTAGCACCCCAGACTAGGGCGCAAACAAACCTACCTCGCTTTTGACCACCCTCGCTTCCAAGAGATACCAAACGATGCCAAACTACGGCCTGTACTGGTCAGGCCGCTTGACGAGGAGGCGCGTGGTATGACTTGGTTTTGCCTGGAAGCGAAAGCGGGGTAGGTAATTCACGCTCTGACAGACACCAGGAGGGTAAAATGAGTCGGCATCAATCACGCAGCGCCGAGCACCAGGAGCATCACGCCCTCTGGGACTCAGACCCCGTGCGCCGAGGGGCACGGCAGGCAGACACCACGGGGCACGGACGCGCGGGCCCCGGCTTGAGCCAAAATGGCTACGGCCGAGGATGAAGAAAGGGAGGAGGAGGAGGAGGAGGAGGAGGAGGAGGAGGACGAGGGAGAGGAGTGAGGAGGACGAGGAGGAGGAGCGAGGAGTGGAGAAGAGGGAGGGGGAGAGTGAGGAAAAGGAGGACGACGATGGGGAGGAGGAGCGCACCACCTGCGGTGCGCGGGGGCAGCAGCCGGCCGCAGGCGTTCGCAGGGCCCGCTCGAGGGCGGCCGGAGATCTGTTTTCTGCGGACGGATAGCGAGACACGCGCGACGAGTTTCATCAGTCGTGTGGCCTGCTGCAGTTTCTAATACATGGGATTTTAAAACATATAGGATTTTAATACATGATTAATGTGTGAATGAATGTACGCATGAACTCATCGTTGTTTTAGTACCAAATCCCTGCATCTTTAATACATGTTCCGCACGCGGAGCATGTATTAAAAACGGCACTGTACGGTGGGGGCATTGGATAAGGAACCCTTAGATCAGGAATCCAGGGTCTGGAAGCCAGTGGAAGTCCGATCGTGGATCGGCCATGGATATCACCGCCGCCCTTCTTGGATAAGGGATCCTCCAGGGTCTGGCGCCTCCTGGGACTATTCCTTAACCAACAACCCTACCGTATCTGGCAGACCACGGGAAGTAGCACATCGAGGGACTGACACAGATGTGCAGCTATTGGCGCAGATGATTAGCGACGATTGGCGAGCTCAGCAGCCATGTGTAATTTGGTTGCGGCGAATAGCGAACCCATCGCGAGAAACAAAGGAGACACGAATCGGTGAACGACCACGCGAAACAAACCAATAACCCCACAAACGCTCGTGCGAATTTGACGTTCTAAAGCACGAAGGCGGAGCTCTTCGGATAGTGGGCGATCTCGCAATCGATATGCTTGGCGCCCCAGGCGATTGAGCCAAGGCATGCGCGTCACAGGCGGCGGACGGCATCGTTGCTGGCGTGCGCGCGGAGCCCTCAGGTGCATGGGCGTCGTGGCGTGTGCTTGTGCGTGCGGGCATGCTGGCGCTGCGCGCTCGCTGCTGGTGCCTGCTGTGCCGACGGCGGTCCACGGGCGCTCTCGCCTGGCCTCGCTGGTGCGGCCTGCGCACCGGGGCAAGGCTCGGAGGCCTGGACATGGGCACCGACACCAACACAAAGGGGGTTGCCTCCACAGGGGGAAGATGACCCTAGACTTCGATGCCGGAGGCGACATTTCGGTCACCCTGGAGGCCAGAAGATGACCACCATCACCGAGATCGGGATCTTCTGCCCTCGGTGGGGGCACACCGCCGACGCTGGTGGTGCCAACCTCTGGGCCTGCGGAAGGCTCGCAGCGTCACGCCCCCCCTACGGAGCAGCCTGCCGTTGAACATCCGTGTTGCGAAACCCTGTGTTTTTGAACGTTTTTGGGGCACTCGATTTGGGAATCCTCCCGAAACCGAAAGTTGTTTTGAAGGATTTCGGCATGCGCGCGCGACGACGCGCGCGTGCGCCCTTCGTCTCTAGGGGGCAAACAAACCTATCTCGCTTTTGACCACCCTCGCTTCCAAGAGATACCAAGCGATGCCAAACTACGGCATGTACTGGTCAGGCCGCTTGACGAGGAGGCGCATTGTATGACTTGGTTTTGCCTGGAAGCGAAAGCGGGGTAGGTAATTCACGCTTTTGCGGAGGATCCGCGACGGCACGCGCGCAAGGGTGTTCGAAGTCGTGGGCCCGGCGCGGTCTCGTGCGCAGCGCCTCGCAAGGTCGGACCCCGTGTGATAGCCAAGCTCTAGAACAAGCACGTCAGATATTTGTTCCCATTGGGCGCTGCCCATGACATTCAGTCCCGGCTACACCATCGAGAAGGGTCCAACAAACGTTCAATCCCATGGGCGCCAGGATGCGAAAACCGATTGCGTTGCGCTGGGTGGTTCGCTCCTGCACTAGCCTTCTTCGAACATCATGCCACGATTCATCATTCCACTGGCTACTCATCGTAAGAGGAACGATGGAGTATTTGATTAATTCGACTCAGAAAACTCCCAGGACATCTCGTTTAGCAACATCTCTCTCTCTATCTCTCTTCAGACTCCGCTGTGTTGGTGTATGCGCCGCCTTGAAGGTCTTCGCCTGTTTGGGCTACAAAATCCATCTTCATATCATTTATTGTCATCATGCCGTCATGCATCGCGGACCTCACACTCGTAGAAAAGCTGGCTGGGGACTAACGCCGAACAGATGTTTATGTCGCAGTGTCTTTCTCACAAGTATCGCGCGGCCTACGCCGTCAGGCCTTGGGTTTGAGTTTTCACCCTCATCGCAGCCAGAGCATCAAGTTTTGACCATAGGGGAGCAAGAACGAAAAGGTGCGCGGGGCACCTTAGAAAGGCCAGTTCAAGGCTGGACCACTTGAGTCCTTATCCTTTAGCGGCAAAAATGCATAGACGCTCGCGCTGGTGGGCATCCAGTATTTGGCCTCGCGTGAGAAGTAAGGGCAACATGCATCTTGCACAATCACAGACAATACCGTCCTTACACGCTTCATCCTCCTACTCGGTCTCCTGCTCCTGCTCCTAATCACTCTCTTCCCAGCTGAGTGTACAGCAGAATCGATGACACACCAACGCACGAAGCTCATCGAACTCTTGCACAGCTTGCTAAGCCTGCAGACCAGGGAAGAGCGCGTTCGAATGGTTTGGGCAGGCCGTCGCGGTCGCCTTGTGAGGGCAGAAGTTGCCAAAACTCACGTACAAATCACAAGGATTGCGCATCGTTATGGCGATGAAGTGGCTCTTCTTCTCGTTCAGGCGCAGCTCCCCGTCGTCGGCGTTGACCCGCCAACGGTCCGGTGCCACGACCGTTTGCACCAGGAACTGCCCGAACGTGCCACCAGCCTCCGGGTGTCGCTCAGAGGGCGCAGGACAAAAGAAAGTTCGAACAGCACTAGCGAGCGTTTCTTGTATTCGGCGACTCGACACTGGGCGGAAGGGGGGGGGGGGGCGGGGTCTGGCTCCAGACCTCTGCTTGGTGCCACTGCTTGGGACCGTGCGGTCTGTTGGGGGGACTCCACCTGCTCGACACAGGCGCCGAAAACAGCCAAGATCTACTCCACGGGGGGGGGGGGAGGGGGGGTGCGAGGGCCCGCGCCGATGGGCAAAAGAATGGATAAAAACGCTCACCTATCAGCTCTGCCACGATTCACGTTTGAGGTCAATCCTGATCGAGAAGCTGGATGATCCCCACGAGTACAAAGCGTTTCGTCGACCGAAGAAGACCAGCAACCCGAACCCCCAACGGTCGACGGTTCAGCGGTTCGTGACCCATGATCGACAATCGAATACAGATCGACGGATCAAGGTCTTCTGCGCTCGAACCTCCAGCAACGATCCCCTGAATCACCCCGTGAGAACTTCCGGAGTACTCATCGCACGGCGCAGCTCCGCCAGCACAGGTGCGATGGGCCAGCGCAAGCAGTGCCAACCACAAGCGCGGCCGGCACGGCCAGCACGGGGAGGGCACGATGCGGTGGGTCAAGATCCGCCCGCCCCCTGGGCGGTGGGGCGCCAGGCCGTGAGCATCCCTGCTGGGCTAGTGGAGAGCAGGACGACGTGGTGGAAGGCAGAAGCAAATAGGATGACAAAGGATGACGTGGCGGAAGGCAGAAGCAAATAGGCTGACAAATGTTGGAGAGGAAAGGAGAGAGAGAGAGAGAGAGAGAAAGATCACAAGTTTCAGCACACCGTTTTAAAACGAAGTTTTGTCACGGCAGGCGCAAAGGCGCAACCTACGACACAACTCATGGACGCAACCATGGCCACACACGATCCTCGCAAACCCCCTCGGCGCAAGCCATGGTCGCCACCTACAGCGCAACCCGTGGACAGAAGCGATGACCAAGAAGAACTCTGCGCACCCTCGTATCCAATGCTTGTCAAACGTGCCAAAGCACATAAGTGCAAACACTTTCGGGGGAACCGAAGATGCTCAGGTCTTGGACAGGTTCTTGCAGATGTGGGGCTTCTTTGGGCAAGGTGTCGGGAAGATTCTGGGCGTACGAGGGATCTCGTGGAGCCCGTTTGAGACGTTGTTGGACAATCTTGGAGGCTCTTCCCTCATGGACTGCGCTGCCTTGGGCTCTCGTGGAACAGACTGGAGCCATCTTCGGACTGGCACGGGCAGTGCTGGGGTTGAGTCGGGCCTGTCCCCCTACAGGGGGATACTGGGCGGAAAATTAAAAATACTCAAAAAATGCTCCCATAATGCTCAAAGATAGTCAAAACATAGTCCCCCTATTATTTGTTGACTACTTTTGAATATCCCTCCTGTAGAGGGACAGGCCCGACTTAGTGCTGGGGCGGGCAATGCTGGGGCCCTCGTGGGCCCGCGGGGGGCACCAGCACCGATAGCCCAAGAGACGAAGCCTTGTGGCCCAGGGCCCACCTCTGGGCAACAACTGGGAACACGTATATGAAGAGTGCAGCCCCAATACGCAACACGCAACACTTGGCGTATTGATACGGAGCTCAACGCGTAGGCTGAACACGTGGGTCTGACGCGATGCGTTCGCCAAAACGTGGGCCAATACGTTGAGCCAACACGCAACGTATTGACACGGACGTTTTGAACACGGCACGTGTTGCGTATCAAGACGGGCGTATCGAGGCAGCTAAGATGAAGCGTGCAGCCCCCTGGCCAGAGCTCATAACGACGACGTCGACGGCACTCTCAGGGCGCCCGACTATCGCTGCTGCTGCCGACTAGGAACAGGGCCCACTCTGGGCAACAGCTGGGAACACGTACACAGTCGGACTTCATTGGACAGGCCACGCGGGAGGACAAAAAAGACCCTTCCGGGGGGCCACATCGCCACAGGAATGCAGGAAGCACGGGTCGCGAGACGCAGGACACAAAGGTGCCCTTGATTTGGCAAGGTCGACCTATGAATCCAGGCCGACTGTGTGAGGCGTGCAACCCCCTGGCCTGAGCCCACAACGACGACGCCGACGGCACTTCCGGGGCGCCCGACTATCGCTGCTGCTGCCGGTCTGCTGCGCGGGCGCTCTGAGCAGCTCGATCCAGACCAGACGCGACTTGAGCCCAGATGAGTGCGCAGGGCCTCAAGACGAGTAACGACTTCTGAGATCCGCCGATCTGGCGTGTGAGCTTCAAAGAGCCCAAGCTACACGTCGTTCATTTCTAGTCGTGCTCATCTCTAATTGTGCTCGTGTCCAACTGTTCCTGGCCCCCCAGTGGCCAGGAACAGGCCCAGGACAGAACAATTAGAAATGAAAGGATCCTGCCCCCCCCAAAAGTCAGAGAGCCTTCGAAGAATTAGAACTGAACACTGTGTGCAGCCTGCCGCCTGAGCTTCATAGCTTCGGCTCTGCTGGGTGGGGGGTCGCCAGCGTGGCTCTGCTGGGGAAAGGGGTTGGGGGGGGGGGGGGGGGGGCGTGCTCCGCTCGTGCTCCGCCGGTGCTCCGTTTTCTTCGGGGCAGGGCTGGGACACGCAGGAATCCGCCAGACTCCCAACCCGAAGGCCAGAGGGCTCAAGGTGGCCGCCAGGTATCTCCCAGACAGTTCAAGGTGCACCAAAGACAGCCCAGGGTGCCCTCAAGATGGCCCCCAGGAGCGCCCCGAGAGGCCTCCAAGACGGCCCCAGGGGCCTCCAAGAGGTCCTCCAGGAAGGCCCGTAGAGGCCCCACTCATTCATTTCCTATGTTTTGAAGGACTTGGGCGTTTCATTCTTTTCCGCCTTCCAACAGCCCAAGACGGCCCCAGAGGCCCCCAAGATCGCCCCAGAGGCCTCCAAAATGGCCCCATGACGGCCCACGAGGCTGCCGAAGACGGCCGAAAGGATCTCAAGAGAGCCCTAGGCACCACGACGGCCCATCAGGGGACCCAGCTGGCCCAAGAGTTAGCCCCCTAACTGAGGGGGGGCTCAGACGACCCAAGAGAGCCCCAAGACAGCCCAAGAGGGCACCAAAAGGGCCCCGAGACGGCGCAAGAGCACCCCAAGATAAGCCAAGAGCGCACAAGATGGCCCAAGAGAGCTCCAGAAGCCCGAAAGAAAGCCTAAGAGAGCCTCCCTCAAAACACCCGAGACAGCCCTCTGACTTTTCTGGAGGGTTCTCCCAGCCCATTTCAAGAATTCTAAAACTTATAAATCCAAAAAGATGGGGCAATGCTGTCGCCAGACATTTGGCCACACAGGCGTCTTCTGCCAACGGCAGGGGGCCGCGGTGACTCGCCGTCGGCGTCTTCGATAATGGGAAAGGCACGGTGTGCTAGAGGCCTTGGGCAAGGCAAGGCGGCACGCAACAACATTATTGCGCTCGCAACTATGGTCTGCCACCCACCGTCTTTTGATAGCCACCTCACCATCAGCACACTGGAGCGCGTTAGAACGCCTGCTGGCTGTCTGGTAGGGCTTCTGCTTTCTCTAGGAACGCCCCCCTGTCAGGCGCAGGCGTACTTACGACCTCGCCCCCCCCAAGACGACTCAAGACCGCCCTGAGGTAGCTCCAAGACGACCTCGAGTCCCGACCAGCCCCAGTAGACCAGCCTGAGCAAGCCTAAAAGACCACCAAATGCACCAAGATGCCCCTGAGAGGCTCCGAGAGGCTACACGAATCCCCCAACACGGACGGACGGACGCTCGCATGCGCGACGGGGCGCGGTCCCTCTAGGAACGGAGCGGTGGCGTCGTGGTGCCGAGTATTGGAAACAAAGCGGGAGAAAAACGCTAGCAGTGCCGTGCGAGCGTGATGCACGACTGGGCAGGGGAGAACATGGAGAACGGACACGAGAAGCATGCTCAGAATAGGGATCACTACTCGTTAATCTAGCATCGGGGAACTCATCGAAGACATGGACTCCATCACTCGCAAGAAACAATTTGATTACTGATTGGATATCCCGTGCATCGGTGCATCTTATCACACGCCTTGCGCCGTAAACTGGGAAGCCCGAGCCGAGCAGCCGTGCAGAGGCACGCGGGGCCTTCGTGAGGTGCTTGAGGTAGAAGAGGGGCTTCTTCGCCCTGGGGAACTCCGGCAGGGGCAGCACCGCCGCTCCTCCGCAGGGGTCGGGGATCTTCTGACCCGGGTCAATCCAGACCCGGGTCAGTCAACCCCTGCAGAATCCTGCAACATCCGGCAAGATCCTGCACCCAAACCCGGGTCAACGCGAAGGATCCTGCAGGATCCTGCACCCAAGCCCAGGCCAATGCGCCCCTGGCCCCTGCAGGATCCTGCAAGAAGGGGCGCTCTGGCTGACCCCCGTTTGCGTGGACCCCCGTCTCAAGGCTCCCGCAGGGGGCCCGAGCATTCTGCGCCCGGCGCCAGGGGCGGAGGGCGGGCAGGCGGCCGCCAGCCTCACGCCCCCGCGGCGAGGCAGGCGGGATGCCTGCAGCGCGGCTTGCGACTGCGGCTGCGACTGCGGCTGCGCGCACGGTGCGGGTGCCGCGGGCGGGGGCAGAGTGCGAGGCGGGGACTTCTCCATATATCCACGGCCTGGGAAGCGACGCCCCGGTGCCCCAGCGGGCGGTGATGGATATAGCTTGGCCCCCGGGGGCCCGAGTCTATCCATATCCACCGCCTGCCAGGGTGCCCGAAAATTGATCCTCCAGGCGGTGGT